AAGAAAGCGCACTAATTTTACTAAATCAAAATAATTGTATTGCTTCATGTTCATTTAATTTAAGTCATACATGGTTACCTATGCTAAAATCTGAAATATACCAGAGAAACATACACCAACATTATTAATTAACATTACCTTTATTAATTTAAACAATGAGATTAAGTCAAAGTCACATAACTGACAATTTGCACAGACGAATTATCAGAGCGAATTTTCATATACTATATTATCCTACTATTGTTACACAATTTATCAACATACCCTTTTATAGGTTGATTTAGGTTCTTTTCATAACGATAGCAGAAAATACCTATCGAAGCGTCAAGGTAATTTCTCTACTAATTGGAATTTTCTCTTACAGCTTGAGCCTAAGTGTGTCGCAGGATACCCTCTAGGTGATAGTTCTTGATTACTTTTTGATAAATAATTCGTTCTTATTGCGAAATAGAATAGTAATAAAAGACTGAGGAGTAATAAAAGAGAGAGGAGAGTGAGGAAATTCTGTCTTTTTTAAAGACAAAAATTTTTGAGGCGATATACCCAAAAAGAAGTTTGTAAAAAATGAATCCGCCTCAACTATATAGAACTTATCTACAAATACGTTCTTGTTTGAAGGTGTATAGGGGAAGAAAAATTGGTCATTAATAGCGCTTATTTAGGAAACTGTGAGAGGATCCAAACGAACAAGGTTTCATTAAATGCATCTCGGACTGAAAAATGCGCAATCCCAGGGTCGAAGTTGTAAAAGTATAACGAAATATTAAAGGAGAATGAAACTAGTTTTGTGATGAAGTCAACTCGATTCCTTCTGGTATAATGAACAGCATTGATTTTTTTAATGTATCAAACCAATTATGGCAGTTTAAGTGATACTTGTTGCACAAAACAATAAACATTTATTAAGGAATACTGACCCAAAAGGCACTTTTTGCTACAAAAAGTAGCAGAAATCGACTGAAGGTTTAAAATACGCATTGTCTTTCCAGTTCAAGGCTTCTAGTGATTCTGTTTAAAGGTTTTTTAAACAAACATCGAGGCACGTTCAAATGAAAAAATAATGTGAAATATGAAGTTTGAAATAAGACGTTAAACCTTATCCCCGATAAAAACTATTTTGTTACGTTTTGCTTGTAAAAAGTTTCCGGTTTCACCTATGTTGGTTTATACTGTACGTATAAGTACACGTGAACAGAATGCGAGACGAGTTGCAATTGTACCTAACATGTATTTACAAAATGATGATCAAGAAGAACCTTTATACGGTTCCAAAATGATATTGTTGCTTAATTTTGCATGCAGTGTTTCAGATAATTTTAGTTTTGTACTTGTTTTTTATAATGATTTTATGAACTAAAGTTATTTTTTAAAGGCCGTGTTTTTAAGGTCCATGCTTCTTTCTGAATATTCAGATTGCAATAAAAACTAAATAGCTCTTAGAATCAGTCAGCAAGTATACATTTTCCATTTTGATTTGGAGTTCGTTAAATGAGAAAAAGTTGGACAATTAAAATAATAATAAATTGGCGATTTGAAATCTTTGATAAGAATTGCAATTATTGGCTTATTCGAAAACAAATGTAATTTTTTCTAGTAACTTTTTAAATCAGCAACAAAATTAACTTAGTTTTTGACCAGTTTTTTTGATCAGTTCTAAGAAAATAATGTAAATACTGATTTGTGTTTTGGACGTTTGTTCGGCAAAAGTAAAAAAGGCCAAAGTTCGGTAAAAGTAAAAAACAGTTATATTTTCTTGATCCCCTGGTACCTACGGACTTTCGTCACTGTTTTCGGTGGCGAAAGCATCACTTTTGACAACATTTTCATTTTTTTTTCAAAATCTTATAATTTTTTCTGCTAGTTTCCACGGAGGATCAAAAAAAATTGTGAACTTCGACTTTCGTCTCTTGTACCGTAATATACTATTTTTGTGGGAACTTTTTAAATCAGCCACAAAATTACCTCAGTTTTTGACCAGTTTCTTTTATCAGTTTTCAGAAAAAAATGTTAATACTGATTTGTGTTTTGGACGTTCCTTCGGCCAAAGCAAGGCGTGTGTTGAAATTCCCTTGAGAAATTGTCTAAATGAGTAAATAATTACGGAAATATGAACTGGTCAGTAACTTATCTATAAGAATAATGTTGCAATAGTTTATTCAACCAAAAATTTTCAATCTCAGTCGAAGAAGTCAATAGAAAAGTATAACAAATTTTCGAAGCAATAATAACATTTTTTTTATTTGTGGAAGTTTTCGATTGTTGCTGTTGTTTTCAAAATTTTCCATTTCAACTTGATTTTCTGCAATTCTGTCCGAGTTCATAACTTTCTAGCTATTCTACATAAATGACACCATTTTATTCACCGTTTAACGGTAAAAATGTGTTGTTTTCCCAGTTAACTCTTTTTATAAAGGAAAATGTTAATATCTGTTTCTTCCAGTATTTGTAGCACTTTATAACTCAATTTTGCGCTTGTAACTGTACATCAATTATCTCTGATACTTGACATTTCTCAGTAAATGTCTTGAGATTCTTGCTTATCGAATTGCGATTCCGGAAAATAAGTGGAATGGAAGCAGCCAGACGACTTAGTCATTATTACCAAAAATGTAGCTCAATTTGCCTACAATTGGTAATCTTTTTTTGACGCAGACAGGCCCATATTAGGAAATACGGCATCGTTTTGTTCTGTTATTCTAATCAAGTCATCGTTTTTACGCATTTGGTAGGAAATATGACATGTGCGGCCAACATAAAACGTTTTATTAGTCTACCACAACATATGTAAGTTCCAAGGCATTAGTAAAATAAAGAATTTACCTGGTTGTTCGACGTATTCTTTTTCCTTGTTAGAAAAATATGTTTTGAATTTTGATGCTAAATCACACTGTAACGCTGCTTAACGTTTCGGCTTCTTATTAGGTAAACACCCTCAGAAATAGTAAAGTTTTTTCTTACTTACTCCCTTAAAATAGTTTTTGTATGATTCCTCTCTTATGCCCGATCGTTCATTATTCTGGTGTCTCCCTGTCTTTGGTTGTTTCTATTATTCCACAAAGCTTAATCTGCTTAATTAAACTTCTCTGCTATTAGTTTCCAGTGATCCAATGGCCACAAATAGACGAGATTAAATCTAATGAAAATTTTTGTTAGTACGTTGTTCAACAGCTGCTCTTTCGATCGATGATTCTGATTAAGCCGGCAGGAAACATTTCGCACGTTGTTCCGTTTATAGGACAATTGTTTGTACAGTCACATTTGTCATTGGGGATAAAATATTGATTATAATAATATACCGGGGCAATGTCGCAATCATTAGCGTAATTTAATCCACTTGCATGTGTTTATAGCCCGTACGATACTTTTTGCACAATCGAAAAAAATTCCCGCGCATACAAATTAATAATAATTTGTATTGTGGAACTGTCGCCTATACATTTTAAAATAGGTTTGATTTTCCCGCTAATGGCAAGTTTCATTTAATCGTATGCTACAAATTGCAGTTATATCGAGTTTTTGAAGTCTTGCCAGGAGCGTTAATCGATTTGTAATTGTTTGTTGTTAATTGATTGTATTTCCACTTTTTCATGTCCTTTGTTTTTTTTGTTTCAGAGCAAACAGCTGAAAAACGATGAACGCACCAGCATCACATCAGGTGACGGTGTTTCATGTCTTCTGCTTCAGAACATCACCACCGACGATAGCGGAAAGTACGATGTCACCGTGGAGAACCAGTATGGTTCCGAGTGTTACTTCGCCTCAGTTTCCGTTGAAGGTAAGGAAGTTGAGCGACGCCCATTTAACGTTTAACGTTTAACACTAACCATATCCAAAGTAACTCGGCTTCCTTGCGGATCGTTAGTAATCTGGCGTTGAACCCTCTTCGAAAACACACATTAACTCAATCGCAAAAAATTTAAAATCTAAGCCAATAGGTAGAACATTGAAGAGACATTTTGCTAAACCTTTCAAAACCTAAAAGTACAAAAAATTTTGAAAAGAATGCAGGAGCAACTAATTTAAGTGGTTCTTGTTTCGTGGGTAGGATCGAATATTCGTTGATTCAACACGTGTTTTTTGAGAATTTAATTATGGAGCTTGTGGGAGGAAAAATCCAAGCAGCACTAGAAAGAGGATTGAACCGTTGAACGAAGTAGTTGACTTGATTGGGTGAATTATGATCGAGATACTAGATTTTTTGATAAAAACCTTGAAATCAGCTACATGGAATAAAAACAGAACCACTAATGCAATGATTTTAGCTATAGGTCTTCTCATTTGATTGGCTGGTATTAAGTAGAAACTAGTTCTTATTAAGTTAGAACAGCACATAAAGGTCAGTAGCCTTATCTGGTATTGCTAATGTTGGTACTTAAGCGGAGTAATTAAATTATTTTAAGGTTATTCCGCACGCTGGTTAACGCCAATTACTGCTAATAAATTATTATTAAATAGCTTTAGCAGTATTTACTGCAACCAACTGTAAACAAATAATAATAATATGTGCTCTAATGCATTTTTATTCATGTGGTTTTAATCGCACTTTTTCAACTGACTTAACTATTTAGATGATTTTACTGCTCAGTTCTGATCACTGAAAAATATCTTTGATCGAAATTGTAAATACAGGGTGATTCAAAATTGGCGTCATTCCTCTGGAGGTGTTGTCTGGCGCTGTTATAGGAGTACAGAAAAATGGTAAAAGAAATTAATTGTTATTAAAAACTGAGAAATTTGCAAAAAACTATATCAGAAATACGGCAGCAATGTTTTTCAAAGTAATCTGCCTAATTAACATTG